CTCATAAGGCTCGGGCTACAGCCCCCGTAGCCCTCCCCTTAAGCCGGGTCTGCGCTTTATAGTGGTTTGGTCTTCAAGTGAGGAGAAAAACTCTAAGTGGCATGGAAAACTTTATTCTACTAATTTCGCTGGTAACACGAGACACAACCGAGCAGGAACTAGACTTCAAGACTTCTGGTTCGTGCCTCGAAATGTTTTCGGTTTTTATCCTTGTCCCCAGGTACCTACTCGGTTTGTGCTTATGTACCCTAATAAACAATAACTAATTTATGTTTACAGCCTACTTATTCTAATCTCATTTGCTAAATACATTTATTTGGGATAATCTCCGATAATTCAAATTATAATTTATATGGCTCGTAAATTCCCAGAAAGCAAAATATATATATTTGGGGCAGGTACTAAATGTGATTGTAGCGTACCGCTACAAATTCATTTTTATTACAAGGTTCTGTATTTTTCTATGAACTTACAGACGCCTTTCTTTCAAACAATATTGCATAAAACAAGCTAGAGAACCCCAAGTTGCTAATTCCGTAATTTGGAATCACATGGACTATCCCTGAATGAACAATTTGAAATAATAGATGATGTACAAAAAATATACAGTGAAAATGTGAGAAAGTTGTGGACTTTACGCAAGCCATTTTTTTACAAATAGTACCCTGAAGGGAGGTTATATTCTACTAATCATTTTATTGATGTAACAAAAGCTTGGCCTACTACGATTTTTTAAAGGGGTAATTTTTCCAGAAAGTGGTATTAGGAATTTTTTATCAAAAAGATAATATTACCATGCTATTCAACACTCCTCCTTCCTTGGTCTGTTTTTATAAACTTTTTGTTTTATAAAACCCCAAAAGTAAAAGTCCATAGTACGAGAAAACGAAAATTTAATTTAGATTGTTTTGCATTTTTTTTTATTAACAACTTAATATTTATAATTTATTACCTACATTTTTTGTACGTTAATTATTTTTTCTTTGTCCGATTGGTACTTGTTTCCACTTTCATGACAATCTTTGACCTGCTTATTATAATTTTTAGTTGTGTGATTTTTCGAAGTTTGGCACCACATAAGAAAACACTCAATAGACATTTGTCGTTCAAATTTGGTATATGGGTATTTAATGGGTGTTGAATAGCCTGGTAATATTATCTTTTTGAAAAAAAAATGCCTAATACTACTTTCTGGAATAACGACCAATTTAAAAAATCGTAGTAGGTCAGGCTTTTGTCACATCTATAAAATGAATAGTAGAATATAACCTCCAATAAGGGTACTACTTGTAAAAAAAATTGGCTTGCGGAAAGTCCACAGCCTTCTCAGAAAGTCATTTCCCCTACACAAGTTAATATTAAGTGATAAACGTAGCCGTTTCGCTAAAGAAAACTTAGAAAAGCACATAGTAATATGTTTTAACTCCTTTCAATGTACCACGGAAGCCTCGTCTCAACACTAAGATTTATCGGGTACGTGGTGTCATTTTTTATATAGGTATTTTATCCTCTACTTAGCCTTACTCTTTGGTAATAGTACTATGTTGCGACATATTTTCTGTAAACATATTAATATTTTCATTCGTACTTAATCTGACTACAGTCCTGTTAAACTCCGCGTCGCACTAAGCCTACTTATGAGGGATAAATCTATCTTTTCGCTTGTTTTTTAGGTCGGTAAATAGCTGTTTGCCTACCCTATTTAAAGTACGCTCAATTCCACTCTCGCGGGAAATAGACAACCGCACTTATTGCACCATATACTATTGTTTATTTTAGTCATCGTACTGGTTATTAAATGTTTGTATAATAGAGTCAAATTAGTTTCCGTGAAAGGTAATTTTTTAACAAAGAAATGAAATTAATAAAAGCTGTGTCAATAAACAATCAATAGTCTAGAAATTGTATTGATCGAGTTTTTAAAAATGTTGACAATAGGACAAATTCTGTAAGATAAAAAGAAATATTGAAAATTACATAGTATATTCTATATTACCAAAAAAATTAAGAAGGATAGATAACAAATTTAACATTGGAACCACTTATCAGACAACTTATTAGTTGTTACTTACATTTTTGTCAAAAGCATAGCCAAATAATGATATTTATCCTGAGAATACAACGAATATTATGCTGGAAAGACCTCTCGTTGTGTAGATATTAGAATAGACGAAAAGGGGGAATTTGAGAAATAAAAAGTTAGCGAACATGCTAGAGGAAACGGTCATATAATTCGATTTGGTTCAACCAAAATTTTATAACATAAATAATAACACAGCCACACAGAAAAAAAAAGTTGGGTATACTTTTTATGCGACATATATTTTTCGTAGTAATTTGGCCTCCTGAACACGAATCTGGGGTCAGAATTGGCCCATCACGTCACAATTTTTTCCTAACCTCAAAAAACTTGTGAAAAATAGTGAAAATTGATGAAAATTTACTGGGAAAATTTGGAAAAAAATTTATTTCCACATCAAATAGTACATTTTTATGTAAAAGACTCTGCTGAATTCAAATCCACTGTCAGAATTGAGCTAGAACGTGTGGTTTTTTTTCTAACCTCAAAAAACCGAGCAGGAATCGCTATTTTCAAATTCTGAGCGGATTTTGACCAGATTTTGTATAAAGGGGTTTTTTGGGTCGCTGATTACGAATATGAATTCACATTGTAAAAATTCAAGATGGCTGATCCAATATGGCGGGTGTACTTTTTTGAAATCCACCGATTTCAGTAAAATTTGGCATCATAAGGATTGCTGGTTGATCTCACCTTCATTAATCACACATCTGGAGCCAGATTTTCATAAATCAAGGTAAAATTTGTAGGCAGAGTCATAATTTTAGGCCGAGTAGGCGGCATTTTTTCGGCAAAGTCACATTTTTAGATTGAAGGCATAAGCAGATGCAGTGATGTGCTGTGTGGCAGTAATGTGTCCTTTTCCTTGAACTTTAAAATTATTAAGAAATAAAAGCATCTAAATGCCATAGGAAAACTGCATAGTAGTTAAAAAAATCTGATTGGAAAACCATAAGCCCATGCACGACTAAATAAATGAAAGAATAAAGTAGAAACTTTTTTGTCTTGTCCCATGGAAACAAGCACATCACACTACACATCATTACATGTGTAGAGTCCTTAAGTCATTTTTTTAAGCGAAGTCACATTTTTAGACGGAGTGGAATCTTTTACCTTGATTTATGAAAATCTGGCTCCAGATGTGTGATTAATGAAGGTGAGATCAACCAGCAATCCTTATGATGCCAAATTTTACTGAAATCGGTGGATTTCAAAAAAGTACACCCGCCATATTGGATCAGCCATCTTGAATTTTTACAATGTGAATTCATATTCGTAATCAGCGACCCAAAAAACCCCTTTATACAAAATCTGGTCAAAATCCGCTCAGAATTTGAAAATAGCGATTCCTGCTCGGTTTTTTGAGGTTAGAAAAAAAACCACACGTTCTAGCTCAATTCTGACAGTGGATTTGAATTCAGCAGAGTCTTTTACATAAAAATGTACTATTTGATGTGGAAATAAATTTTTTTCCAAATTTTCCCAGTAAATTTTCATCAATTTTCACTATTTTTCACAAGTTTTTTGAGGTTAGGAAAAAATTGTGACGTGATGGGCCAATTCTGACCCCAGATTCGTGTTCAGGAGGCCAAATTACTACGAAAAATATATGTCGCATAAAAAGTATACCCAACTTTTTATTTTCTGTGTGGCTGTGTAATAATTAGAAAATTTATTCTCGAAATTAATTTTTATGGATTTTCAAACGAAATTATTCTTCTTCCATACAAAAAATTTGACATAAAAATGTCTGTATTTCTTACTATGCAAAAAAGAACATAAAATACGTTTATAAAGGTCGTTAAAAGAAAAATTTAACTTAATTCAAAATATTAGGTAGGTTTTTCATTAAAAATATTGGGATAGGTTATTTTTTCTGGTTGATAATTATGAATTAATGCTGTACGGATCTGTAGTCCACAGAATAATTATTTCATGTAACATCATTAGTTGTTAAGCTTGTCTTTGAACTTGATTTAAATTACCTTAACACCTTTTAAAGTAAAGTAGATAAAATCCTCATAACAATACCTAGCGGGTTATATCTCAGTAGTAGGCGTTGAGTTTTGCATATAAGTAAGTAGGTCTTATTTTGATCTCAGGAGTCTGTGGATTTTTTTGTTGTTGAAGAAAGTAACAAAGTAGGCGTATTTTTTCATAATTTTAAACATATTCCCAACAAAGAGCAGCTTAAGCAACTTTACATCAAGGACAAAATGTTGTAGAGTATGAATACCCAACTTCTTATCGAAAATATAAGTCGGGGGGTCGTACATAAGCCTTCCCGGGTTTCGGTAATTATTACATCATTATAATTTATTACAGCGCGGTCTCTGAAACAGACTGACACCATCAATCAGCGGCCGAAGGACAAAAAGTCACCGAAAGGGCCGATTGTAATTTGAAACATGAAACGGTTGGCGTTTCCCTTCAGCCGGCACATTTGGAGAGGCGAATTTAATACACAAGTTTATCGCATTCCTGACGAGTTCGGTCAGTGGCGTAGCGCCTGAGATTTGCTGTCACTGAGCTGCTAAAATAAAAAAAGTAATTTATTTTTTCATTTATTTATTTAGAAATTACTACAATCCAACGGGACAGAGATCCAATTACAGGATAAGGTAAAACAGAAAACCTTACCCAAATAAAAAAAAGATAACTAATATTAAATATAATAATATAAGTACTTCACAAAATAGAGCAATTAAAATGTAAAATCCAGACAAAAGAACTTAAGTGTAAACAATAACAGACAAATAAAACATAAAAGCTAGCATATACAAGATAGGGATAACATTTGCTATCAAATAATGTTTTTATGTTATTCTTAGAAAGAAAAGTATATCAAGTCGATCTTCATACTTTTGATAATTAAAAATCGCTTGATATAGGGGAGATGCTATTACTAAATTTGTCCGAGGTGAGGGTAATTGTAAAGCAGAGTGAAATCTAGAATTAAGTCTAGAAACATGATATAAAACCCTTGAAACTAACAAGTCTACATTTAAAGTGTTATTTATAATTTTAAAAAGGATTATAATTGGAAACATAATTCGCCTGAAGAGTACCAATACTGCCGAGTCTTTTAAATTGATTAATTATGGTGTACTCAATTCCAGAAAGAGTAGAAATTATTGAGCTTTTTTTCAAAAACAATGAATGCGGAAATCGGGTCGCCGAACTGTTCAACCAACGGCATCCTGAGAAACATGCGTCTGGAAAAATTGTTCGCGAATTGGTGGCCAAATTTCGCGAAACTGGCTCCGTTCATAACAAAAAGAGGCAGGTTGAAAATCCGGTACTAAATGAACCTACGGAAATAGCGGTATTGGGGCAAGTGGCAATGGATAGTACGCTGAGTACAATGCAATTGGCTACTGCGACAGGAGTGAGTCGTACAAGTGTCCAACGAATATTAAAAAAATACAAATTCCATCCTTATAAGATTCGGCTAGTGCAAGAGCTAAATGAAGACGATTTTGATCGTCGTTTGCAATTTTGCGAAATAATGACTGAACGAGCGATAAACGATAATTTCCTCTTTAATGTGTGTTTTTCGGACGAGTGTACGTTCTTCTTGAATGGTTTAGTGAATCGCCATAATTGTCGTTACTGGGCTGATACCAATCCAAGGATTTTCCATGAGACACACTCCCAACACCCCCAGAAGTTGAATGTATGGGCAGGTATTTTTGGAAATTCCATTGTAGGTCCTTTTTTCCTTCCTGGAAATTTGACAGGCGATATGTACTTGGATTTACTACAAAATGTCATCGACCCAGCTCTAACAAATATCATAGAGGACGACCCTGCTTACAATGAACACGAACTGATTTTCCAGCAAGACGGAGCTCCTCCACATTACTCGCTCAATGTGCGCAATTACCTAAATGAGACGTTTCCAGGACGCTGGATAGGACGAAGAGGTGCAATTGAGTGGCCCCCTCGGTCACCCGACTTAAATCCTTTAGATTTCTTTCTCTGGGGGCACATTAAAAGCAAAGTTTACAGCACTCCACCTGATACCTTGGAAGATCTGCGAGGACGAATCATTAATGTATGTCGCGAAGTAACACCGCAAGTGCTCCAGAATGTTCGACAACGGTTTGAAGACAACCTGTATCATTGTATGCAAGTTGGCGGACAACATTTTCAGCATTTACTTGACTAATACCGTAAGTTTTGAAGTAAAATTAAATCGATTTTCGCATTTCTCGTCAAAAATATTGTTCGTATTTTCAAAGCTGCATATTTTCTAAAATAATGAATCGATTTTCAAAAAGTAAGAATCGATGTATAGAGAATTAAAAGCCCTTTCTAATGACCCCCCACTTGACCCCCATTCCCATTTGAAAAAATTTAGGGGATAGCACCCCCACTTAGGGGGTTGAAGATTTTGGTATGCTTTTTGAGCCAAAAGTTGTCCCCCTCAGAAACAAATTTGACCTGTTTTTGGATTTTGCCGAAAAGTTCTTTACTACCCTGTAATGCCTTGCGGTACGTTTTCGATGGGCTACCCTGTATAATCTATCAAGGTTAATTTATAATCTAGTACAATCAGTAGAAGATTTAACTTCCAAAAGTAATTTAAAGTCATCCGCATAGAGCAACTAGTTGACATCGAGGCAGCCATTAATGAAAATAACAAACAGCATTGGTCTCAGGATTGACCCTTGCGGAATTCCTGAGGATTGATGGAATTTACACAGTTGAAAGCCACGATACTGCACAAATTAGTATCTGTTACTAAAATAATATTTAAACAGAGATAACAAAGCAGGGGAAATACCAATTTCAATGTTAATAAATTATGATCAAGCCGTTCGAAAGCTTTAGAAAAATTGATATACACATGAACTTGACGTCCTGCATCCTAAGCTTCAGCAATAAATTGGGTTTTCTCAACTAGATTTGAGTTGAACGACCTCTCATAAGTCCATGTTTGGTACGGGGATATTAATTTTTCAATATGAAAATAAAGTCGATTTTATAAAATGATTTCTAGGATTTTAGAGAAGTCAGGCACTTATAATAGCTATGGGCTGGTAGTTAGGTGTGTCGTTCTTCGTACATTTTTTATAAACAGGGCATATTCGCTTAATATACAGAAAAGCAAACCCAAAATTACGAACTTGAACAAAAATATAATAGCTTCTTCTTTCGAGTCCTTTGCGTGTTTTAGTAAAGTGAAAAACAGACTCAGTAATACTCAACCAACTTGAAGATGGATATGAACTGGGAGAGCAATTTAAAAAATAATAATAGAGGAAAATTAATATCTATGGTGTTTTCAAAATATGGTACCAAACTGAAACAGGAAATAGGAATTGTTTTGTCTAAAGTTTATTTGTAGGATAGTTCTAGTGTTCTTTTTTTATTAGGTGTTTTGCCACCCTTGAAAATATTAATTAAAGTAACCTTGCTTGCTCCAAGAGTATAAGTCAAAAGTTATTTTTATCAAAAATTTCACACTAAAAAATGCAGACAAATAAAAAACACGCACTTGTAGTTATTAACGTTTCAGGAAATCGGTATCTTTAAATTTTGTTCACAGGTGTCAAAATAAATAAAGAAAAAAAATCATATTGTATTATCGAAACCGCTACTGACAATTTTTTAGATAAAAAAAGCCCTTAATTATTATTTACCCGTCGCATATCCGTGACTGTGAAAGAAAAAGAATTATTCCTATTGAGAGTATTGTGATCTATAATCAAAAGAATTTCGGAGAATTTTTTTTTCACTGAGCATTTTCGGACGTATTTATATGAAACTTTTTGCTTAAATTAACATTTCTTATATCCTGTTTGAGTTTGACAACATATTCAAAATTCACCCTGTCAGTATTTTCAAATTATACATTTTTTATTTCACTTATTATATCAGTAGATATTCTAAAAATGTTTCTAAAATTCACATTAAACAAACTTAATGTGATCTTTGAGATCAAAATCCATAGACATGCTGGCCATTAATAATATAATTCTAAAATTAAAAAAAATGATGCATCCAAATACTACTAAAGGAAAAAAGACACATATGGCACATTGAAATCAATACAGTACAAGTATTATTACAAACTGCAATGCAGTTGTTTTCTATTTTCCTATTCCTAACAGCCAGAAGATCTTTAGAGTCTTGAGAAAAGGCAGCAACGGCACATTAAGCAAAGTAATGTCTGCATTTTAAAGATTGTTTCTTCAAACTGCATACTTGTAAGATCCAACTATAAGAGTATTAATAGTTTATTAACAACTACGTACCAATGTATTCTATTTTAATAAGACACTATACAGGGTGATTCAGTAATAATGTCATTAATTTTAACCACGTATTCGAAAGGCCTAATAAAGACAGAAAATCGAAAAAAAAATTTGTCTCGAACTTTTAATAAATTAAGTAGATTACCCCTTAAATCCCGTTAAGTCGGCGCCCTACTTCGCAATAGGGAACGCTTAGGCAGGCGGAGTACAAAGCGTACGAACGTTGAAGCGAAACAGCTGATTTCCCTAGGCGTCTTAAATTTTGCAATTGGTTTCAAAATCAAAGTGCCGCATTTTATTAACAAAGTGTTATGGACTGAACTTAACATTCGAAAGTAATTATTATCCTTATAAATTTTATTAACAAATAAATAATACTTGTTAATAAATATTAATATGAAAAAAAATCTTATTCATTCATTTGTCTAACTAAAAAGCTCTGTTGATTTATTGAAAACGTATTAAAAGCTAGTTTAATGACCAAATGTTACGGTAGGACAAGATTCACTCTCGATGAACCTTTGTAGATTAGCGGTCAGGAACGGTCCAAAAAGATGTTTAAATAATGATATAAAAATATTTTTTTCAGAATAAATATGCATTTAATTAATCGCCTATTCGTATTCTAGTCAATTTTCCCTATCTTCTCTTAAAATTGATAACATTATGACTGAATCGCCCTGTATATTTATTACATTCATCCTTTTTTTTTAGTTTCACTGTTCTTCTGAATTAATCCTTTATTTCGCACTCAAAAACTACGGTTTAATCAAATATTTTACTTTCTCCCGAACCGAAACCCCTCGAAGTTTCGCCAGTGTCCGCTCGAGGGCAATGGTTGACATGAAGAAACGCCCCAAAGCACTCACCTTGTCTGTGGTAGACCGGCCGGCTACGAATTAGGCCACCCAGTGCCCTTGTTCGCCCTAATAACGTTCCCTTTCACAGATGAATCACTGCCGAATTCCCACCCCGAAGACTAGGGGTGTTCGTGAAATATTGGGGTTGCTGTGGGGTGAATTGGGTTAGGAACAGTGACTGAATCAATAAAGTGCATAGTCCCTTCTTCAAATTTTGCATTTACATATATGGTTTTTCCAGAGAGGTTTTTATTTTTTCAAATAATAAAAAAAATCGTCGTGGCCCATCAGGACCTTTTTGATTTTTAATAACGAGCGTTCAAATAAAAACGTGGTCGAAGTTGGCTCTGACACATTGGACGTAGGGAGTAGCTTATAGCGACCAACTTAACATCATTTCTCAACGAGCTGTATAGCAGCTGTCAGTTTCAATAACGTTAATGACTACCTATATAACTTTATTTTAAAGAATAATCGTGATAACAATAACAAACAATTAAAGGAGCTGCGGAAAGTGTCCCCCTCCTTGTTATAACAATAAATTAAAGCAGCTGCTGAAAGTTCCCCCCTCCTTGTTCCAAGCACTTTTCACACCTGTTCCTCAAAGAATTAAAGACATTTTCTAAGATGCTCGGGGTATTGTTAATTTCACGAATCTTGTCTATAAGTCGAGCCTGCAGATGGTTTAAATCAGGAATAGGCAGTTCAAAAATAGTGTTTTTAAGGTAAGGCCACAAAAAGAAATCACACGGCGTAATATCACATGACCTCGATGGAAATTCATGTTCAGCATTGAGACTTAT